AAATACTTATGTAAGATATATTAATACATTTATTTCGTTCTGCACACGTAACTATTTTGTGGCGGTTTTGTGGAATATTCAACGTTCGTATATAGATAAATATATAAAAATGAAAATAAATAATGTAAGCAGCGAATAAACAAACAGATCCGAAATTACTATAATATTCTGACAAAAATAGTACAAGTCCAAAAAAAATTTAGATAAAAAAGCATTACTCAATGCTTCATTTTAACTGAAACCAATATTTTTTTATTTAAACAATTTCTAATAGTACTCAACAGGATAATATAAAACCTTACTAGCTCCCTCTGTTATATATTTATAAAAAGAAAAAGTTATGAAAATCTGAACAAATATACGTTTTTATGCAAAAACTGAGTTCTAACGAAACTGAACTGTTCAAAGCTGAACTGGTTCTACACTGGTCCATTTTTACCTGGTATGCGACTAGTATATTAGTGGTCGAAAACTGGTAATTAAAATACTTTGCAGTCTTTAGGCGTTTGTTAAAAGTACGTTCATTGACATTTTGCACCTTCTAACACTGCACTAGTTCCAAAGTCATTCTCAACTACTGTAAACAATTTGCATACATAGATATTATATGTACGATATGCAAAAGTATGTCGGCGTATACTCTCAAATTGTATTTGAACCACACACATTTGACTTCTGTCAAATATTACAATTTCAATAAAGCCACTCAAGATCCTCAACGATGACGATGACGTCGAAAACAAGAACCAAACCTCAGCCACTCATACGCTAATACTTGTACATACGAGCACACAGCAGCAGGCTAACCGCAACTGACTCAACTCGATTTTGCATTTGAATCTCACAGGATGTGACAGAGTACAGTAAGCAAAAGATACAATTTTGGCTGTAAATGAAACTTCAATAGTCATAAATACATACAGATTTACATACATACATACATACATATGAGCAATAAGTTGATTTGCGCCACATCTACATATATATATATATATATATATAAGTGTATGTGTGTGTGTGTCTGGGGGTGGTTGCGCGTGTGTGCGTTTGTGTATTGCTTGGTCATTTTAGTGTGCAACTATGAGCATGTTAATTATTTCACATATCCTGTTTTGTCGCAACAAGGATGATAACGTTCATAATGCACTTTGAGGTTTTATGACCGCAACACAATTTTATATGCTGCCGCAATGTGACACACAACGACCATGCGACCAACCGACAGAGCAACTCTGTCATTCACATACTCGTACGTAACAACATGCTCATGCAACTCTGCTACTGCTAGTATATGTATGTTTGCTCGTATGTGGCACATTTTAGGCCATTTGGACGTTGCAAAATTGCCATCATTCCACAGAATGTCCTTTTCAAAAATTAAATTTTGCAACTTTTTTTATTTTATTTCGCATCTATCGCACACACACACACGCTTGCAGGTGTATAATATAAACTATATATGTTTGAATGCATATTTCATTTCATATTATGACAGGTTGGCTTTTAATATGTACATATATACCAATAGCAGCATTTGCTATTAAATCATCATCAAGAATTGCAATGAAATGCATTTTCATTTTTATTATGAAATTTGTGAATGAAAAACTGGAAAAAAATTTATTTGACAATTTAATCATTTTAATGCTGCAGACAGTGGACAAATCACATTCGTTGTATATACTTGTAATAATATAAAGACCTTTCAATAAAACATAAATAACTGGTTAATAAATATAATTAAAATAAATAGAAAAAAACAGTTATTTGCGAAAAAAATGGAAGTAAAGTGCAAAATTGATTTTGATAACTTTTAATTTCCCTATTCTTCCCATTGAAGTTGGAAAGTTTTCGACTGTCATTCGCTTAGGAGTGGACCTCAACGACCCCTTTACACATTGCTCAAACAGTTCTAGACCAAATGTCCACTTGTTAGCCAACAAACATCACTTTAGAAGCGTCCGACCTCCTCCAACCCTTTTTGGTGTGTCTCTAGTTGTTTTTCAAGCATTTGGAGGGAGCTGTACTTAATTCTAAGCCGACTCCAAACGGCTGATGGAGTTTTATGAAGAGCTTTTATTTCATGTCGGAGATACTTTCAGAGGGATTGACATTCCCTGTCGAGAGGCGACCGCATTTAGAATGGTTTTCCGAATGGCAGTACGCAATACTTGCTTCTCGGCTATTGCGGCCACCTAAGAAAGAAAATTGAAAAACCTACTATAATGAAAAACCAAGGATGACAGACCCATTTTTGATGACGGTCACCACAAACGGTTTAAGAATCATGAGGGAATATACCTGGAATGTCCGTACTCTTAGTTGGGAAAGTGGCGCAGCCCAGCTGGCTGATATCCTAGTGAGAATAAAGGCAGACATCAACCCTATCTAGAAGAAATCCCTTGTTACATGCAACGGCCGTATGAGAGAGAGCATGTTTGGCGTAGGTTTTGTGGTGGAAAAGATACTCCACCGATAAGAACTGGCATTATCTCCGTTGTCGCCACAATCAGAATCCAAGCAACGCTTTTCAACACAACGTGGATTTGTGCCCGTGCACTGTCGGAAATGAAGGACGCTGTGACCAAGGATGCCTTTTTTGAGAACCTAGAGTATTTTTATGAGCACTGCCTGGGCCACGGTGTCAAAGTTGAGTTCCCAAAACTGTCGCAACTGCGGCCTCCACGAATTAGCATCTCCAATGGCTTATCGACTTTGCTGGTACTATAACATATGGTTTAGCGTAGTAATAGTTTCCCACGTAAGAAACTTCATAACCTTTGGTTTTGATAGACGAACGTCATGTATCCCGTGTACCAAATATTTGTACGTTCCGCGGATCTAACGTCGCTTCGGATCACTGCCTTGTACGCATGAAATCTTTAATGTGTTTATCGAACCTTCAATATTGGTACCTCTTGTACAAAGTACAAAGTGGACTGCTGCTCACGATATTTAAACCGGAATAGAGATTCGCTTGACAAAAGTAAGAATCTGCTTTTCAGCCTTGATCTAAGCAATTAGCAGCAGTTTTGTGTATATTTAAATAATTTTTCAAGAGCCCTTAGAGCTAAGCGATATCGCTTGAGCAGGTCAGGCTGCTGCAGCTCTTGCACAAGCTGTATATGGTACTCTGGCAATTCAAGATCTCAACGTAAAATGCGTCAAGACTTTCCATACGTCAGTCCGAGTTACTGCGTACGGCGCCGAATCGACGTTCCATGGTTTTCGTGTACACTTTTAGCCCGGCCGCTATATTTTCTTAACTGCATGTTAAATGGTCAATCGAATATTATCCAACAAAAGAGTATTGAGAAACTACATCTACTTGATGCACCCGTTATATCTAATATCTATATTAAAAAATAATATCTATATAAAAGTTCGTTCGGCTTTTATCTAAGAGATGGCGTTATTGTCCATAGTACTAGTGTTACGTTTCGCATCATGTCATACCATACGACGCTGAAAACGTGTTTATTCACACTAAAAGTTTGTTTTTGACAGTTTTTCAATTGCTCGTCAAAGATAGATAAAGAGAAAATTCTCTATATATTACAATTTTTCTTCGATCAAGGCGAAAATGCTAATATCGATGTTAAAGATGCACCAGGTTTTGCTATGTGTTTGGTGGGATTGGCATGGAATCATTTACTACGAGCTGCTCCCCTATGGTCAAACACTCAATTCGTCAATCTCCTGTCAACAAATGGATCGCTTGAAGGTAGCACTCATCCAAAAGAGGTCATCTTCGATCAACAGAGCCCGAATTGTGTTCCACCAGGATAACGCCAGACCACACTCGTCTCTGGTGACGCGGCCAGAAGCTCCAGGAGCTCGGATGGGAGGTCCTAATGCACCCAGCTTATAGTCCGGGCCTGGCAAGCTCGATTAATGGTGAGAATTTGACCTCAGCAGAGGTCTTTGAAAATTGGCTCTCCGAGTTTTTTGCCAATAAGGACGCAGCCTTTTACGAGAGGGGCATAGTTAAGTTGGCATCTATCCAATTAGACTTGCTGCCTCTTTTCATAATTCAGAATGTTCTAAAATTCTTGGATACTGCCAGAAATCTATATAACCAATATAATTTTCTCTAGGAGTAACCACATTTATATTGCAATAGGTAAGATTTATGGCATGCTTCGTGCTTTATGAACTACTCAGTATTTCACACCATTAAAAATTCGATTGCTATTAGCAAAAACTTTCTTGTTACCGACCTTATTGTATGGTTGCGAACCCTTTGCCAGCTGTGGCAGTCTGTGTTACAGTAAACTCTTTGTCCTCTACAATAACACCGCCAGATACGTATATAGTGTAAATCGTCGTTATTTTCCATAAAATTTGACGATTTACTGAATTTAATGTGCCTAATGTTACTTCCCAAAGTCATTAGCTCTCAGGAGCCCAAATATCTTTTAGAACGAGTTCAATTCACTAGAACTACCCATTCAATTTACTTACTTTGCATGAAATACAGTTGTCTGGCAACTCAACATCAGTACTTTGTCTTTGCTGTTCGTTTTTGGAACCCTCTGGATTAAAAGCATTCGAAGTACGTGGCGCTTTAGAAACGAATTCCTACATCCCTTTGCATAATCCATTAATTGCTATCTTTAGTTTCAAATATTGAAAATACTAAGTTTTCTTTAATGAAATCCTTAACCCTCAACTTTTCTACCAGGTCCAGTAAGAAAAGGGTAGCTTTAATGTTTTAATTAAGATTTTATTGTTATATTTTATTTTTAGATACTAGATTTAGAGTGAAGCATTGTAAAATAACTTATGTTTGTGTGTTTGAACAAATAAATAAATAAATAAAATATTTTCTGCTCTAGAATTTCGATATTTTAGCTTCGAACCATTGATCTAGTATCTCTTACAGTAGTAAGGTTCTTAAAAATAAACATTTAGAGCCTTAACACGCTTTATTAGTTTACTCTATCAAAGCACATAACCTCAACTGACTATTCCTCTCTCACTACTCTACTCTTCCCCAGCGCCAATCTAGTAGCAGTCGCCACCCTTCGGCCTGGCGCACCCGATCATATGCGCAAAGAGTTTCGCAACAAAGCAAAACAGCTCGCTCGCCTCAACGATCCGAATGTGGCGCATGTACTTGGCGCCTGTTTGCGTGATGAGCCGATTTGTATGGTGTTCGATTACTCTGAGTGTTTGGGTGATTTAAATCAATTTCTACAGGAGCATGTAGCCGAAACGACGCACAGACTGCAAGCGGGTTGTTTGACGAATAAGAGCTTAAGGTGAGTAAAAAACGATAGAAAATTAATCAATTTAAGAACAAGCTGTGTTAGAAATCTAAAGCAATTTCATATAAAAAAAATATTCCAACAAAAAAAATGTATCCAAAATTTTTCGAAGCAGTTTTCCAGGAGCTGTTTTAAAATAGATAAATAAAAAAAGCTCTCAGTAATAAACACACCCCACGAAAAGACACTTGCAGACTTCTACAACCCAGCTAAAATATAAAGAAAAAATAACCTAACCAAATATTCAACAAACTTTTCATTTCATTTCTCGTTTCACATCCTTTGCTCTTTATCTTGTTTCCGACTTCCGTTTGCCTGCTGATGACGACAACGCGAACGACACACCACAAATATAACAACAAATATGCGGATGGCATCGTCGACTACACTGTTTGTCGTCTATGGAAAAACAACAATAACATATTGAAACTACAACAACAAACACATCGATAATAAACACCACGCTGATGTGGTGGATAATGCTGAAAATATTTTTGTTCTCCGCCATGAAAAACACGCAACAAAAACGAAAATGTAAACTTCGTCCACAAATTGCCAACAACAAACTGCCGGCAAACTCCATAATGACCATCAACATTATTATTAATTTTCCTGACTTTTGGCTGCCTATCCCCTTGGAAAAACGAAATAATGTTTGTGCTGTCATGCTTCCGGTCTCGTGTCGATAATTTTGTGCCAACCAACAACAAAATCCAAATAACCCACCATCAATGAACTTCACTCGAATCGTGGTCTTCATCATCATCGCCACAATCACAACGATTTCGACATTTTTCTTCGATTCAACTTTTCACTGTGTATGTATGGCCGATTTTTTGTTGTTGTTTTTTCATCATGCTCTCTACATGTGGCTTCGGTTTGTTGGCTCGTTGGTGCAAAAACTTTCACATTCCTTGCATTCACACATTTTGCTACTGCAATGTCTCCATCAATGACCATGAATGGAACCAAATGCGGGTGGTAATGATGATGATGATGATGAGGATGAAATTGTTTATATATAAAAATATATAGCTACGGCAGCTTGGTGTATATAGCTACGCAAATTGCATCGGGCATGAAACATTTGGAGCAAATGAATTTCGTGCATCGCGATCTGGCAACAAGGTAAGTGGCAACACAAAAACTTTTAAAAAAAATTAAAAAAAAAAGATTAAAGTAAATTTATCTAAAAATGTCTATATTTGTTTTCTTTTACCTCTTAAAATTTTAAAACGTTTATGTGAATTTAGGCTATATTATTAAATTTGGGTATTCTTCAAATGTAACACACAACAATTTTTTTAAAAATATTTAACTTAAGTTTCTTTTAAATTTATAAATATCTAAATTCATTTAAATTATTTTCCTTTAGTATATATATTTTTTTTAATTTATTTAAATTAATTTCATATTATTTGCCTTATTATGTTAAAACTTTTTGTTTTAACATCAGTTTATAATTTTGTGACTTAATTTGTTTTAATTTTTTTATTTATTTACAAAATTTCTTTAATGTTACTTCATTTCGTTGAATTTTCTTTAACTTTATTCTATTTTAGATAATTTAATTTTGTTCACTTATTTCAATTGGGTTTTATTTTATATATTCTATTTTATTTTATTTTATTTTTTATTTTATTTTATTTTATTTTATTTTATTTTATTTTATATTATTTTATTTTATTTTATTTTATTTTATTTTATTTTATTTTATTTTATTTTATTTTATTTTATTTTATTTTATATTATTTTATTTTATTTTATTTTATATTTGTTAGTTGATTTTATTTATGTTTATAGTCCTTTTGCTTTTATTTTTATTTATTTTTCTCTCCGTTTGAGATTTTTTTTCTTTTTTGAAGTAATCTCAAATATCTGATATTATTTTAACATAAATTATTTCTCAATAAAATGTGTATGAAACTTATGAAAAAACTTACTTATTAAAGGATTTAATTCGTAAATATAATCCTAATTTATATATTCGTACCTATGAAAATTTCTCCAAAACTCTGCGCCTTTTTACAAACCCCGTTTACTCACACCAAAAAAGTGAAAACTTCACACAAATAATATTTCCCCACTCAAATCAAAGCCAATGAAGTTGAAACCAAAATGTGAAAGTTGGCAACTTGTTTCGCTGTAAAAAAAAAAAAATTAAATAAAGAAAAGACATTTTTGTGGTTGAATGTTTTGAGTTTCGACATTTCAAAATCGCACTTACATTGAAAACTTTTCAAATTTGCAATTTCACAAAAAAGACGACTTTAAAATAGAGACAGAGGAAATGCTGTCATCAGTGGCATTGATAGCGGCGGCGTCGGTTTCAGCGGCGTCGGTAAAGATGCCAAGCTTCCAAAAACTTTGTGTGAAAACTTAATTTTTGTGGTGCAAAATCGTTTGGAGTTAAACTACAAGCAAAGTATTTGTACTTTGTGAATTTCAATCGCTAAATACTCACACACACCAACACAAATGAAATAGTACACTTTTGTTTCTGTGCTTGTGTTGGTGCGAGTGCGTGTGCACCGGTGTTTGTGCGGAAATTAAATTCGTACTAAACGCGCTGATAACCGAGATGATGACGCAAAATTTTGTTACTGCTTTTTTTATTTGGTTTATTTTGCAATCAAAGTTTTTTCTTTGTTTCATTACTTCTATATATATATAATATATATGTACAATATAAATGCATTATCCGATTTGGCAAGTAATTTTTGAGAAAGTTTTACGAGAACTTTAAAATTAGAAGAAGCAAACTAAGTTGTTTCTTTCCCCCTTTAAACGAATGAAATTTCTAAATGCGTTAAAGGCAGAGAACTTTAGTTAAGTTGCTCTAATACTCTTTTATATAGATATATCATCCTAGACTGTTTTCCAGATCATCCAGAAAGTGTAGGAAATATTGGTCTAGTAAAAATTAATTCATTATTTTTGAATTAAGATAAATACTTTAATTTTTATTTTTCGCTGGGCTTGGCATCGCTCACGCTACTATTCGTTCATCAGTTTGGCGCAAAAGCAAATACTAAGTGAAACCAGGTCTTCCTCTACATTGGCCGTCGGGGACTGTATCGAATACTTTTAAAGCTGGAGTATTCTTATCCATCGAGATCACAAAACATGGGCAGCGCAGCCGCCATATCTTGATTCACTGAATTTAGTTAATGTTCATCGATAAACCATCTGGGGTATTTGGCGAAGCTTCTATTGACAAGAGTGATTCTAGGTTGAATTTCAGGGCTGATATTATTACAGGTCTCTGGATGGACGGATAATTTCGTCATTGAAGTTGTGATTATTAATAGTGCTGAATGCACCGACTCTTCTTTTTTTATAACAAAGACATTTCTCCGTGTTCTCGTTCACTATCGGAAACATTCGTTTAACTTCTTTGTCAAGCTTGCAGAAGGCAAATCAAAGTACAGGATTGTTAAAGCCTATGATATTAATATCACTCTTTTTAAAAAGATTGTGATTTATTTATTTAGCTCTGCAGCTCTAAATATTGGCTCCATAATCCAATAAAAAGTCACACTTTCTGAAAACTCATTTAGTACCGAACGCCTGGGAGTGGTCCTCCTCAATTCTGACTGTGCTTCTGATATTGTCCAGCGTCAGTTTACACAGCGGCTTTAAAAGCCAATAATATGTCGAATGGCGAATATTTGGTCAATGGCTGATTTACCAGTTCCAAAGCTACAGTGATAAGGTACAATTAGTTTGCCGACTGTGGATTACGTACGCTTATCCCACGGATTGGACAGAGTACACTTAGGTTACAATTGTCGGGCATACTTTCGTCCGACCTTGTTCTGAAAAGAAGCTGATAAATTTACCCTGTCCATCTCTATGCCGTCTAGGAAAAAATCTGCAACCGGCTGAAAAATGTCGCTTTAATGCGAATCGTTGGGAGACGTTCGTCGACCGGAGTGAATTTGTGGTAAAGCACCAATCCCGACCTATTGGCCTAAGGTAGGCATTTCCGGATGACTACTTCCTTCAGATGGTCCAATTACGAACAGTAGTGTAAGTTATCCATTTATATTACCACTCGCATCTGATCATCTGGCACCCACGCATCGAGGTTTTTTATGTTTATCCAGCATTTTTCAAGTGTTGCCTATTTTATTTTCTCCAATGATTTTTGTAATTTTATCGACAGTTATTTTACTTTATTTAATTTAATTTTTTTTATATTTTTCTCTCCCTTATTTTATTTTATTTTATTTTATTTTATTTTGTTTTGTTTTGTCTTATTTTATTTTATTTTATTTTATTTTATTTTATTTTATTTTATTTTATTTTATTTTATTTTATTTAATTTTATTTAATTTTTTTTATTATTTTATTTCATTTTATTTCATTTTATTTATTTTACTTTATTTTATTAAGTTTATTTTGTTTTATTTTATATTTATTTTTATTTAATATTATTTTATTCATTTTATTTTACCACTTGCACATGACAGTTTACTAGAGAATTCTATGTGGCAACATTTTTTTATACGATTCACTGATCTTCACTTACATACATACTCATATGTATATATGTATATGCCTTAATGTGTTTTTCCTTTGAATTTTCACCCTTCTCTTGATTAATATTAAATAAATATATAAATATATTATTTTTATTATTTTTTACTCCATGTTGCCTTTTGTTACGCTCGGTTTGCTGCAGATTGTTATTTTTTACGCCAACTTTTCCACCAATTCATTCCAAAAAAAAAATGTTTGTAAAAACCAATAACAAAAGTCGATAACTTGTCTTGTATGTAAACGCGCCTAAAAGACGGCTGCGCAAAATTTACAGTTCATTGAATTTTTTGAGAATTGTGTGAAGAGTTTTTTATTTTTCGCTTTGATGGGTGGCAATAAAACAACAACTTGAAAGAAAAGGGAAAATCAGCACCACAGACGCCATGCAAATGAAGTGTATGAAATTGAAGTTATTTCGCTTTACAAAACTTCGGAACTGTTTTTCCATTTTAGAGTATAATTTTTAGGAACTCTCCTCTACCCATTTCTTCAAGTAGGTTACAAACTTTTCTTAAGCGGAAATAATTTGTGTCGAAAAACAGCTGTACTCGTATGTGTGCATGCGTGTTAAACGGGATGGTCTATGTATATAATAAGGATATTGATGTTGTGTGTGTATGTGTGTGTATTTTGATTTGAAAATACATACAAGAATGATGATTGTTTTGTTGCATAATGACGCTTGCATAAATTGAATTTATTTTTCAACTTTCCTGATATACAGACATACATGTGTTTTCTAATTGGCTAAATTTGATTTTTCTCACAGTTTTTAATTTTTGTTGGAATATTTTTTTCCAAATGAAAAATATTATTTTAGCCTTGTTTATTGGCAAAGTTTATAAAAACGAAGGATACGATAACAGCAAAATTAAATGTTTAATGACGCGGCTGGCTGAATTTTTTTGAACTTTGTTGCCGAAAATTCTAAAATTAAATTGAATACTTTTATTTATGAAACAGCGTAAAATTTTCAGTATAAAAGTCTAAAGGCTCGATTTGCATTGTTTTTTAAAACAGTGTCATTTTCTATTAAATACGATATCAGTTTTCAAGATTTTAAGTTAAGATTTTTTTTAGAAAAAATGTCCAGCTGGCAACTCTATATTTTGATGTTTCGTAAAACGAATGGGACTATATATTAAAATTTAAGGGTATTAAAAATTAACAAAAGATTTATTTTAAAAAATTCAATTCGGAAACAGAACTTCGCATAGCAACTTTCTGCCAAAAAGCTGTTCGGGAGTGGCTGAACCCCAACTTTGGAAAGAATCGTTCTAGAAGTTCGAATACTTTCTGAACTAAGCTGAAAACTTGATGCTGCGATATTCAGATAATGTAAATTCATCGCGATGTCAACGCATCAACCACCTTTTCAGGTGTCTAAAAAAGTTGACCATAGTTTACGGCTTATACGCGTGAATCCTGACTGTTAATACATTAAGACGATCTTAACTAAGCTTGCCTCTGAATTTGATCCATCAGTTCACAGAGCATTCAACCAATCTTCTTCGGTGAAATGTTGGTTTGGCAAGCCCATTCCAAATGATTTTTCCCATTTTTTTCTGAGAGCCACGGCTCCT